CACAGGATTTTAATTCTTGGAATTTATGAAGAAGATTTTCAAGTCAATCAATAAAAGCTTCTATTCTGCCAAATAAAATCAAGTTAAAAGCAAGCTGTAATTATATATTATCATATTTTCAAGGTTCACTTGTAACTGTGAAGTCATGTACACTCAGGCCTTTTATAAAATACTCATTTGTAGCAGGGATTCATAACAGCTAAAGCTGATTCTTTCCTTGATATATATGTATATATATATATTAAGGATTAAGTATATTAAGGATTAAGATTAAGAGCATCGACAGGTGCAAAGTAACTAATTTATTCTGTAGTTACTAGAAAATATACGCGTTTGTCATGACTCGCATGTTCTACCATCTATTCTCTGCACCACTTCTCCCTCCTTTTATCTGCTTGGATGTAGACGTTCCTGGGTCTCGATCTGTCTGCGTGCCGCACGGTCTGTGTTATGAATGGAGATGCACACCTACGTACACAGACATGCGGCTGACACACACCGCTTGATTTGTACAGAGCACACACCTCCGTGTTTGCCGAAAACATCCTGTTCTAAGGAAACATGCTGCGGTCCAGACAGATTGGAGCTGTGTGAAAAAATGAAATGACAGGACTACAGCGTTCAAAATGGTACCAAATCATTTGATAGTAATCAAATTTGAGTAAAATTTATGTTAAAATGTACGTAAAAAAGAAAACAGCTCTTAACAGATCTTGAGTTTAAGATGGATTTTCACAAAAGGTAACTTTGTGTTCTTCAGCTACAAAGAAGAGGCTGGTCATACTTAAAGAGCAGCAACATGAAGATGAAGTAGATTAATTTAAATAGCCTAAAGTACAAATCCATTTCCATTTCTCATGCTGGGGGTAGACGGTCAGCAAAACTTCAGTTTGAAAAAAACATAAGCTGTAATTGAGCCTCAATAATTATGCAGACAGTGCACACCACATTTGTATATTTGCATAGTGTAGGCTACAAAACAAATTTAACCTCAACAAACACAATATGTGTGAAAATGTGTTGAAAAATATGGAAAATTTCCATGATGTCCCTTTTAAAAAACATCTTTATTTCACTTTCATGTGTGGGAGCTGATATGCTTTCTGAATACATAAAGGTGCATAGAAATGTTTGGAAAAATTTAATAAATAAATATTTTTATTGAGATATTTAACACATTTAATTAATCTTTTTTATTACAATTACAAGTTTTATTGTGTTTTCTAAACAAGGCTCAGGTATACTACTGTGCATTGCTGATTTTATTTGCACATGTTGCAGGAGATGCACACCAACTTTGTTAATAAACTCAATTTCCTCTTTCACCTTTCTTCTCACATGCTCCCACCTAACACCCAGGGACACACAGTCGTCTCCCTTCGTCTCATATACACACGGTCCCAGACTCATCAGCACTTCTTTTTCCCCACTTTGACCAGCATGCTTCATAATTATCACATAGCAGCTCATTGCACACAGCGCCATCTGTTACTCGAACACATGCGATCCCGACGCAGCAACAAGATGCTGCCAGATGCCGTGGATTTTGAGTTGAAAAGACCAAGCATGCGTGGCCAAATCTGCAGCAACTGTTTTAAATAGAGGGGATAATGAATTAGCCCTAAAGGAGTATTAATCTACTTCCATGAAGCAACATTCTTTTGCAAAAACATTATCTGATTATAAGTACTCTGCGTTTAAGCTGGAAGACATTTTACCTATTTTATGCCAAAATGAGAAATCATCTGTAGCCCAAAGCATATTTTACATTATTCTGTGGCTCCGAGGATAATGCTGAAATATATTGATGACTGAGAAAGTGACAGAGCCTTGATACACCGGAGAAGATGTGCTGAAGTGGTTGAACACCATGAACTTCAAGCCAAACTTTCAGGATTGACTGTGACACATTTATGAAGAGACTGGATGGGGTTGAATTAACTGGGAACCACAGCTGCACAATACATTGTGAAAAGATCGCCATCGCAACATCACTGTTTATCCCAGATTGTTTGGAGTGGAAGAATTGTCGGAGAATATATTCCAAATGCTATGAACTTGCATTTTTCATGCTGAGATTATATTCAGCCAGCTGGATAGAGTCCCTTACGCTGGATTGCATGTTTGTTGCATAAAAATAAATTTTTATTTGAAGTGACTTGTAAATTTAAATAAAGCCCCTCAAGCTTTTTTAAAGTGCTGGAAATTAAGATGTTTTATTTTTTATTAGGGCCAACTTTCTCGCAACAGTTTCTTACAATAGAGACAGTGAGGACCGCACAAAGTATTTATTATTTTTGCTTTTTTTAAAATGTATTTCATAGTAAGTAGGACCACATCTGGTGACTTTCACTCGTAAAAAGACTTTTTGACATGTTTATGGATGAACATGTCATACTTTTTCAAAGGAGCGACCCAAATACTACTCTTATTACCATTTTCAAATTTTTACAATTCCATGACTTATAAAAAAAAATCAGTTTAATTAAAATATTGCATTCTTAGTTCATTGCTATGCAGACAAAAACAGTTAACATAATTTAACAATCTAAATTGTTTTGACCTGGGGATACTTGTGACTCAGCAATTCTGATTCTTAATTGAATTGAGGTCTGGACTTTGACTAGGACATTATAACGGAAGAGCATCCTTTGACCAGACCATTCTATTGTAGCTCTGGTTCTCTCTTGAGGGTCAATGTCCTGCTGGGAGCCTTCTGCTGCCGCAACAATTTTCAGAACTATTTCCAAAGAAAATTTAGGGAATTATGTTCACTTCACAAGTTTAACTTTTAATGTATAAAAACCAACAAAATCTATTGAGGTGTTACAGTAAAAAAAAAAAAAGCTACGAAAGCTTCAAGAGCTATGAATGCATTGCAGCATGTTCTGAATACATGCTGCAATGCATGTTTTTCTCCCTTAAATTCTGACAAAATGGATGAAGTTAACGATCACTGAAAGCATAAAACACGAACCAGCTGCTGGGACAAAAAGAACAGAAAACAGAAAGAAAATGTGCTGACTTCTGCTAGGAGACACCCTGCTTTGTAATATTTGTGCCGCCCCATCTCTTACATTTTACAGAAAAGACCTGACTCCTTGTTTCTCCAAAGTTAAAGGCACCGCGGCCTGATCCATATCGACATCCTGTCACCTCCACCATGCCTCGATCGGACAGAGGAAAAACTAACCCAATTTGTGTCCAGTAAACAAGCAGTTCACTTCATATGAAGTATAAAAAGTCAACAGAAGAGCTGCAGTTCATTCAAGGAGGCGCCCTCGTAACGTTTAATGAGCATTTCTCCAGCCTGGCCACGCCATCCTTACCTGCCAGGACCTACGGAGCAGCAAATTAAACATCAAGCCGTGCTGACATCAGGATGAATTAGACCTGCCGTTGATGATTTATACATTCGTTATCATGGAGCTACCAGGACCACAGTCCTCGAGCTGGAACGCGATCAAACGTTCTCACTTTTCCTCTCCATGTGCAGCTTTGGAGGGGACTTCTGCTGTGTGAACGGAGGGACTCCCCCTCTTCAATTATTTACAGGAAGCCCTCATGCATCTGTGACTTTCAGCGACAGGCTGAGAAAGCCCAGCAGAGCAGCGCAGAGCGCCGTTAGTCCTCTTCCCAATTACTATTTTCTCTTCCTCTCATCCCTTTACAAACAATGTTTCCTCCTCTCAATCCTTCCTGGTTCTTGTCCAACTCCCTCATCTGTTTACACGGTTTTCTTTTCCTCTTTCAAATCTCTTCTAAAACAGTTTTTACCCTGTTTTTCCCCCTTTCTCATATACAAACCTGTTCCCTCTTTGTACCTTTGTTCCTCTCAGCTGTCATGTTCGTTTCCCTCATTTAACCTCTTCCCCTCCCGCCCGCTTCCATTCCCTCGTTCCCTCAATCATCTACCCTCTCATCTCATCACCTCTAGTCCCCTCTTGTCATCTTCCCCCCAAAAAAGAAAAGAAGGGGGAGGAAGGAGGGATGAAGCAGGAAGTAAGGGACATCGGTGGATGAGTGTGAACTCCTTCTGAAGAGTCAGCATGGAAATAATTCATATTCTGCTCCATCTTACCCACATCGCAGCTCCTGTACCTCACCTTCCCTCTGTTCTTTGCTGCTCTGCTTGCTTTTCACCTCCTCCTCTATTTCTCTGTCAAACCTCGTCTTTCGTACTGTTCTCCCCATCTCCTCACAGTAATTTTGCTTTTGATTTTACCATTTTCACATCTGCTGGCATTTGCTGAGATGCTTCTGGCAAGGACACTGAAACACATCGCTGTCAAATTCACTCAAAATTAAGGAATATTTGTCATTTAGGCAGATTGACTGACTCAGTGATATATTTTTTGTTGCTGTTTTTCTGATTATTAACGTCAAGTAAGGTCTTGACTGTTGTTTCCTAATTTCTCTTTAATTTTCTAAAGTCTAAAGTTTTATACACGTTTTTACCAGGATGCCAGTAAATGTGGAAGGTGCTGAAGTAATGTCATTTTAACAACTTATATTATTTTTTCAGAATATTTGGATACAACATTTTGTAAACTAATCAATTTGTTTCAACCTTTCTAAACCCTTATTTAGTAAACTCAATAAGTTCATTTGAATTAAAAAAAAACAAGACTATAGAAAACTTTTCTGTCCTATTTAGCTTTGGCGCATGGCCTGAACAATATTAACATTCAATAAGTCACATCCCTCCTTTGGAAGCTCAGGTTGTTTCCAAAAGTCGTCTCCCGCCAATGATCACAGCTGAAGTCAACAGATGCATCATCTCCACGCCCCACTGGCCAATAACTCACCCTGGTGGATAAACCCAGGCAGATATTTCCATTTGTGTCTAATTAAAGTCCCAGAAGGGACTGCGGTACATCTAAAACCAAGAGGAACCAAACACGGTCCGCAGCAGGGCTGAAGACGACAGCTGTGGTGGCGGACGCCGTCCTTTAGCAGCGTCTGATAAACCTGTCTGCGTGTGTCGCTGGTGCGCTCACCGAGGAGTAAAGGTGACCCTCTCCGTTCATGGCGATGTAGAGACCGGTCTTCACTGATTGGATGGCCACGACTCTCAGACCCACAGGAATTAGGTTGAAGAGAGCTGAGGACAAACAACACAAGAGGAATTAAAATGGAAACAGTTTTCTAGATGTATTAATGAATGTTGTTTCATTTTAAATAGTGCTGTCAATCGATTAAAAAATATGTAATCTGATTAATCACACGCTCACACTGTGGTTAATCAAAATAGTTGACTTTGAAACCCTGAAATGTAAAAATGCATGTTTTCAAACAGTGTTTAAGAAAATGTTTTTCTGTCTCAAACCAAACATCTCAGTTTTCCAGGTTTTCATATTCAGGATGAAGTCATTTTGTTTCAAATGTAATTTAGAAACTTTAAATTGGTTGTTCTTGGTTTTACCCAGAAGTCCATTGTGGTATGTTTTTAAGAATAGTTTTGGTGCTTCAGGCCTTTATTTGTCAGTAATCAGGCAGGAAGTGGATCGAGAGAACGATGGTGAGCGACTTGTGGCTAAGGAACCGAGGACAGGAGTCGAACTCGCATCGAGTTTTATATCTTCTGAATAGGGTATCCACTCTAATCTTGATGTTTTTTAAACTAAAACTTGCCATCGAGCACATCAGTCTGACTCTCCTCACTCGTCTTTTCACTTGCGTTTGAAAGAACATGTAATGCCAAGACCATATAATGCCCTGCTTTGAAGTTACCCTCTGCGGTATAGAGGCTTTTAGTTCAAAATAGAATAGGTAATGCTATTAATCTGCATTAAGTAATATTAATACGTTAAACTTTTTATATTAAACACATGCAGCCCTAATTTCAAAAGAACATGAATAAATTAGACAGTTTGAGACTTCGCTTAACAGTCTCAACTAAAACAGGACGGAGGTTTTCTGATTGGTACAAAAATAAAAGGGAGATGCTTAGCAACATCCAATCATGAAAACATTCAGTTTTAAATGACAAAAATTGACTTTTTAAAAAAAATAACAATAGAAACAAAGGAGCTTTCCAGCTGATGAAAAAGTCAGGATTGGTTGTACAATCGTTGGGTTAAAATTATTTCTCTTTTCTTTTATGTCTGGCTCATCTTAAGCCCAGTTCTGCTGGACTTAGAGGTCTGTTTTGTGTCATTGTCATGTTTCAGGGCCTAGTTCTGTTTCAGCTTTTATTTATTTATGTTTTTCTACAGATGGTCTCACATTTTAACCCTCTGATATCCAGTAAAATTTATGTTCATGTAAAAAAAAAAAACCTGGTTTTTGCTTCCATGCTCATCTCCCATGAAAGTTAAACTCATGCAGTCTTGTTTAAGATGTGCAGGCATGAATGTTCGTATCAACAGCAGAAAGAGTCTGCTTAGCATCTTGTGATGATATTTTAGGGTTTTTGAACTCTTCATATAGCCTGTTCAAGTATTCTTTCAGGGTGAAATTGCTTGAACAGCCACAGGTGGCCATGTTGGAAGTTGTTTTCAGCACTTTTTAAATCCTTCATCAGAGCCCTAAGCTGCTTTAATCTTCTCTCTGAAGGCCTCGGAGAGCTCTCTGGGTCTGTTCGCTCTCACTTCAACAGTTGGAGGACTACACTAAATATCTCAGGTTAAAACTGAGCAATCTTTCATATTCACTTATTATATCTTTCTTTTTTAACAGAGATATGTTTGAAGCGTTACAACAGCAGCTTTGGAAATAAAAAAAGAGAAACCAGCTGGTCAGAATCTCTATTTTTCTGATCATTGAACGCATCATGCTTGTAAATGTGTGAAAATATTAATATAAAGCTGTTAAAAACAAAGTCAGGGGGAGAATGCAATAAGGTGTTTGTGCACGCTGCTACTTAAAGAGAGTTACAGTTTAGAAGAAAACAGGAAGGCTACTCTGGAATCAAAGCGAGGATGGAGTGTTTCTACGATTGAGTTTTCAACCTCTGCGACAGAAACGCTGGTAGACTTTTGAAAATCTCAGAGTCAATTTAAGAGTCTATGCAAAATACATACAGAGACCCAATAATGCTAATTACTCTAATTACTAAAATGAGATGCAAGACACAGTTTAAAACCCCATTTTTTATTCTGAATGCTATTAATAATTCTTGCTGTTGAAAGGTCAAAACTTGGATAAGTGCATCTCGTCATTCATGGAGACAGTTTGTTCATCTGTTCCTGGTACTTCAGTGCATTGATGGAACATCGTCCCAAATGAAAACCATTGTCTTCTGGGTTTCGGAGTTGAGTTAGAGTCCATCTTGAGTCTGAAAAGGTCCAACTTGCTCATCTTTAAAAACACCAGCACATTCCAGTAAGCCAGTAATGTCTAAGTCGAAGTAGAGCACTTATATCATCAGTCTGTAACACCTTTAAAAAATTTGTTTGCAGGTATTTCTTGGTCCAGTTTTGCACAAGCAGCATACTTCAGCTTATGTGGAAACCCTAATATCCTCTCTAAAAGTGAGACTGCACAACAGACAAGGTGCTGAAATTAGGGAAAATGTTTCAAAGTAAATTGTGGGGACAGTTTAACTCTTCTGCTTTGTTTACACACAGCGATCCAGCGAGGGAAGTTTTATCCTCCACCGCATTTCTTGGACATTGTGTACTTTGTTCAGAAGAGGTATTTATTTTCAGAGATTTTCTACATCGGTCTGACAAGATGAGGTGCTGAGATTCCTTTTAGCAGAAAATCTTTGAGACACAGTATTAAAACTGACATTAAAACATTGTAATTTAGCTGTCTGTTCAGCTGACAGACTGAAAGAAGAGAAACGTTCAGCATTTAAGACACAAAAACATACAAAACAATGACGGGCAACTGGAGAAGGAGCAATTTTTGTTCTAAAGAGCTAAAACAACAGGATCTTTCTTCTGTTCTAGTCGACTGCTGTTCGTTGCAGTAAGTAGCTTTTAGTGCCAAAATCTTATTTTGCTGGCATTTATGCAAAAATAAAGAAGCATTATTGATCTGATTTATAGAAACTAAACGCAAACTTCCCCTCGTCATTTCTTTACAAGTCAATTAGAAATATGCATCTATGCATAATGGGGTGAAAAGAGATTAAAAGCTGGTAATGTTAAATTTTATAAATTGGAGGGTTTTCTTCTCTTCATTTTGAGCTAGAGGATTTTTAATATTTGGAAATCATAAAACTACATTTAAGACACTTTTTTGAAAATATGAATGTATTAATCTTTTCCATCAGCTATGCCAATACATTTTGATTTCACGCAAAAAATACGAATATATCCAAATAAGACAGAGTGTTAAAACAGAGAATGTGTTTGTTTTTCTTTGCAATCAAGGAATGATTACTGCTGCTGCTCTCAGTCAAAGTTCTGAGAAAATAACGAGATCCGTTTTCAATGTTCGGACAAGATGGAAGAAAAATGATGGGTTATTTTTGGCATCATGTGAAGACTCCAGCAACAATAAAGGTACTAAGAAACCAACTTCACTAAAGACAATGAAAAAAAATGTTTTAAATGATTTTTCAGTACCTCATATTTTGCTAGGATTTAAAATTACAAAAAAATAAAAATAAAAATAAGTTGTCCTATTTGGATATGGAAAAAAAATTGTTTTAATTCAAAAGCAATATCTGGTTGTTGAATAAAATGTAATGCATAACCAAAACAATTGACATTGAGAGCCAGCGACCCATCAGATCCTTCCTGATATAATTAACATGCTGATTACAGTTGGAATGAAAAGTGTTTACTGTGTAGATTTCAAGAAATGCCACTATGAGCCATCATTTCTATAAATGTGAATTCACAGATCTGAAGAAAAACATCAAAATCCACCTGACATCAGGTGGATTTAAATAAACTTAAGACTTAATGAAAACAGGGAAATTCTAGGAATTCTGTTTAATTTAGACCCTTTGTAAAACGAAAAATGTACAAACTGGAGAGTAAAACTGATAAAGCTGTAGAGAGTCATCAGAATATAAACAGATGGACTGAAGACCTGATAGCAACACCAACGTGAGGATGACTCCTTGGACTTGTGAAGGTGATTTTCTCTAAGCTTCAGTAATGAAAATACTCCAAAAGCTGACTTCGTAAATTATCCATAACTCCTGACAACTGCATGTAGAAAAAAACTACGGAAACTACGGAACTAAAAAAACTACGGAAACAATTCTCTGAGCAATCACTTTAAATCATTCAGTAGCTAAAACTGAGCTATATCAATATTTACAAACATATTTTCAGTCCAGGCTCAAATGACTGACTGTGTATTTTGATCGTAAATTGTAACAGGGGCACCTTTAGCTTCAGCAGATCTCTTATTTGAAAGAAAAACCTCATTCACACCATTTGGTTTAATTTTCATCATATTTGATCAATTTGGAGAACTGTTCAAGTGTCACTGCTGATGAATTTCTGGGCCTTGAAAGAAAGATTTCACTTTTTATTCCAGCTTTTTTCAGTCTCCAAATACTTGCTCTAATTAAATCTGTTGTTCCCATGAAACACACATTCCTCTGCCTTATATTTTAGCACTCAACATTTACTCAGCTTTAATTTAGTGCACACTTTTGATTAGATTTTAAATTTTCTACTCACGCTCCAAAATATGTTTGGATAAATGTTACTGAGAGCTCAATCTGAGTCCGAAAACTAACCAATTTGAATAAACTTTGCCAACTGTAGCAATAAAATTGCCAGAATTATGCCAGATGCTTGCTAATAGCTTCAAAATGCTTTTGATCAAGGTGCAACTTGCTAACCAAGAGTCCATTGGATAATATGTGTATATTTAAGTCTGAATACATATTTTTAACTAAGTTTGGTTAAGTAAATTCAAACTTGGATAAAAAAAAAAACTCATTGCAGCTTCTGGTTTGATCATTCAGCCTGAAAAGAAAATAATGACTCAAACCAATCGGTAAAAAGCCAAAGTTAATAAAAATTTGTGTCCAAGATCAGACGAATGTGTGTTAATTGTGTGTACTGACAGGAGTTGGTGCTGTCATCTTTGGTCCCGTCCAGACTTCCATCCTGGCCCATCTGGAGATAGAAGCCTTGCCTGCAGAACAACCTGGTCACTATGCCCTTCAGTTGTGGTTCTGCATGCAGAGAAACACAAACGAAACAACAGATACTGTTATTCACATTTCAAAAGAGTTTGAACCAACTTCAGCAGGACCTGGGTTTTAATGCACAATGTCATCCTGGAAGCACCATCGAGGGCACCTTTGTGATAAAACACCTTTTTAAAGCAGCACAATGTGACCACATGCAACCTCCTGCATCCTGAGGGATTTCCTTTGGAAAGTCTAGTCAAGCACATCCAATCCATTACAGGATTCCTGGACTAATCCGTCCTTTGTGGTCATTGTTCCACTTGAATAACATTGATAAATTATTTCTGAAGCTTTGATGCGAAAGTGCAGCCTCGCAGCAGTTTTGTACATAGCCAGCAGGACTTGTGATTGTACAGTGTATTGATCGACAGGCGCAGGTATCTGTTCCTTCATCGCAGAATGTGAACGTGTGCAGAAAAAAGGAGAAATGGGACAACTTGAAATTCTTAATCCCTCTTTCCTCAATGTGAGAACTTTTCAGTGTTCAAGGAAGAATTTGTGAAATTAAAAAGTGCGGTGTGAGTAAAATGTGTGTCTGTGAGCTAATTAAATTAAGTGGAACAGTAAAGCATTGGGGTTTAACCTCATCTGCACTGAAATTATAGTCAGATTTATATCAGAAGAAAGTGATTAACAGTGTAGAAACCATGAAAACAGTGAAAAGTGAGACTCAAACCATTTTTAGAGGACAAAAGAAGAGAAAACTGCAGCTGCCAGAGAGTCAATGTAAAGGGCACCTTGAATAAATCTCTGAGATATAATCAATTTTAGTAATGTAGCCGCGTCTGTTGAGACATCCTCAGAATCAGGATGGATGAGAAAAGACACATTTCACATTTTAGGAGATCCCAAAATGGTGAAATCCAGATTTATAATGATAGACAGTAAGGAGAAAATGCAATCTCTGATTTGTAAGCTTCTAATAAGATTTTTTTTAATCAGCAGGTTTTAGATCCTTGTCTGATTTACTGTGATCTGAGTCATCTTGATCTGAGTCATTGATAGGATTTTACCGTCCGGCATGTATAAGCAAAACAAAGCAACACCAAATGGAAAAGACGTACACTGGTCACCTAATATGGCCGCTCACCCAGATGCATGTGACCACGCCCGTGGTCTCCTCGTGAACCCCACCATCAGTGACTCTGCAGATATAACGAGTGTGGGAATCCCCTTTGAGTGTGCAAGAGACACAAGGTGAATCATTGACGGTACACCCTCCAATGCACAGAGACAGAACAGAGCTGCGATTGACCCACTTTTTTTTTTCTTTCAGGAGGGGCGCGAGCCGAGCGTGAGGGGTGTTTTCCGTCTTTGAGGGATCCATCTTGTGCAGCAGCAGGAGGAGAGAGGAGCAGTGATGCTCAAAACCAGCACTTCCACTGCAATTCCCAGCAGAGGCTGCTTGGCGTGGAGCATGGTGAAGTCAATTAAAAAAATATGATCCAGCCAAGATGAATAGTCGATTCATCCAGTAAATGCACATTAAAAATACTCATCTTTTTTTTTTTTACCTGTTTTTATTTATGAATTATACCAAATCCTTGATACTTCCATCTTACCATCAAGAAAGAAGAACAACAGCAATGGCACAAGGACAGATGGAGGGAAGGAAAGAGAAAGAGGAGGGTCAGAAGGATGCAAGAGGGAGGATGAGGAAGGGCAAAACAGAAGGACACAGTGGAGAGAGAAAAGAAATATGCATCAAACTACAAACACACATGGAAAAAGAATGGATGACATAAAAGGAAGAAAAACATAAGGGCAAAGGAACAAAGAAAAGAATAAGAAGAAAGACTGAAGAATAGGCACACGGACAGGAGAGAGGAAAGAGAAAAGGGAGAGAAGGAAGGAAAGTACACAAGAAAAAGGAAGGACGGAAGGAAAAAAAAGTGGCATGGAAAAAAAGACCAAAAATGACACATGGAAGAAAGGAATGCTCAGAGAAATGATAAAAGGAAGGAAAAAAGAATCACCACAAAGAAAGAGACCAGGAAGGATAACAGGGAGGAAGGAGATAAGGAAGAAAGGAAAGAAGGAAAAGCACAAGGGGAGGAAGGATAGAACATGAGGAAGGAGAAAAGATGGACACGAACAAGGACAAAACATTTAAATAAATGAGAAGGTCAATTGTATTTAAACACTACATTAAAAAAAATGTTTAACAAAGTGCTTCAAAGCATGAAAACAATCTGCCAAATGAAATTAATTAAATTAAATAGGATAAAACCAAAATTAATGACATGATCAAACTAAAAGTGAACTCAAGTAAAGACGGTAAATTTTCAGGCAGGATTTATCAAACGATTACAGAACAAATATTAAGAGTATTAACAGATTCCCTCTGTTCTTCAGTCGCAGTGCATTTCTGCAGTTATATGGTTCAAACAATTTAGTTAAATCCATTTTTAACTTTCAAGGCAAGTCCAAGGAATAACAAAAATAAATGAAATCAACAAGAAGATGTTCAGGCAGCCAGTGAAAATCTGGCTTCCTTTTATGCCTTCTGATATCTGTTAGAAAATTTGCTCCAGCAAAACCAACGATGGTTTTCAAGGTCTTTTTTGCTAAATAATTTGTTTAGCAAACTGATGTAAATGAGTAAAACTGCTCTCAAAAGCTGTTACTTGCCTCCTACTAATAATAATTATCTAAAACATATTTTCACACTTTTCCAGATCTATAAAATTCACTATTGTCTTGTTACATAATGAATCATCAATGACATTATTAGGAGGAATCAAAAAGGATATTTCTGTTTCAGAGACACACCTCGCTCACCCTCTAGCTCTGTTTAGATCCTTGGGTTTTGTGATAAAGATTAGTATGAGCATGTTTCAGGCTTGTTGTTGTGACTCAGCCAACAGAAATGTTCAAGGCTACAGAGTTTCAATAACAATAACAAAAAGAAAAAAGACATTTTCTTAAAGTTGGTTTGACGTCTTGGTTTGTGGCTCACAGCGTAGTGGCCTCTCTCCGCTGAATATTAAACTCAATACATGGCAACAATATTTTTTCTCTCGGTGCCAAGCTGGACAGCAAATAAAACTTACAAATAAACCTGAAATGGCTGCGAATCCATTTATGCAGACAATGATTAAAACACCAGTGGAAGACCAAGTAGTGTGTAATTGTCTTGTTTTGTGATTTTATCACATTTATTTATTTAACAAAAATTGATTAGACCCTAGTTGGTAGTGACTTTAGTTGCAAACAAGAGTTGGAAATTTAAATTGAAAATATAGCTGGTAACTTAAATTACCAACTGGATTGAGCTGAACTCTGGCAACTTAAAATATTTTGTTTTATAACTGAATCTTGATTCTCCAAATGTTCCTCCCTCGCCTGTTTCAGGAAGCAGCTTCCTCACTAATGTTCTCTAACAAACCTCTGAAGCTGTCACAGAGCCGCTGGACTTATACTGAGATTAAATTACACGAGGGTCAAACCATTATCCACTTTTTCTTCCACTTCACAACTAAGTGGTGTTTGTTTTCACAAAGGAGACGAAATTCTAAAACGTTTCAGCCGCGTAGATATTTTTCCAACGCTCTTTTCAGGAGTCCGCAATAGTGCATGTAATGAGAACATAAATGTTGCACACAATCCTCACACTAAATAAGAAAGCAATAACTTAGAGCAACAGCTCTAAAAGCTTATTGACCTTATGCACTCCTAATTACAGCAGGGCAGTGATGAAAGGTAATGAAAGCCCCTGATACACACATCTAATTTTGTTTTGATTACACCTCTTCTCTGTTTTCCAGTGGTCACTTTTTATCTCCTCATTTCAGGGCTAATGAAGCTACCTAGGAGGTCTCATTAACACTTGCAGAGATATATTTGACTTGCCGCAGCTGTGCTGCCCAGCAGATGACAACCTGGGCTGCAGTTTTCACAGCTCACAGTGTTCCTGGCAGACCTCCCGCTTCCACATACAGGATCTGACATTAATATTCAGACTGATTCTTTGTTCTTTACTCGCAGGATGTTATGAAATAAATGCTATAAGATAGTTAAAAACTATATTCCCAAAGGAATAGTTAAAGAATATTTTTAATGCAATTTGATTTCATGTTTATTGGTTATTTATTTAGGAAAATAAACGGATATAGTGGTAGGCACTCTTCTGCTAATGGAGAAACTGATATTTAAATTAATGTTTTCCCATTTTGCTAACTTTGAAAACATTTAGCACACTTAGCTTCCCCTAACTCTAGATAGATCCTGCTGGATTTATATGAATTCATTTGAACATATATATGCTACCATGTTTTTTTATATATATATATTTTTTTTTCCTCCTTTTGTTAGATCAGTTCAGTAGGATAACACATATGAATATGAAAATGAATTGATAATCTCAGGTAGCGTAAATGTGGGTCTTTACACACACGCATCCATTCAACCACCTGCTTGTCCGTTTGGTCAGAATCAGACCCACACTTCCTGAGTAACCAAGGTGAGATTCCCACTCTTCCCAGTATCCACCGGTGTCCCTTTATTTGTTACTAGGGAAATTCCCATCCTCATGTTGCCATGGGAACAGTCTTGTGATTCCAGACTGTTCCAGAGAAAGGGTATTCCCCCATCCACACGCTCACACACTGACACATACACGCACGTGGATTTGCTCCCACATTGCCCATCTTTTGGAGACAATGTGATCTGATTGAATCAGTCAGCCAATCAAGGCTGCCACGCGGATTTGACATATTGCATTGTCTGTTAATTCGTCAACACGCGGCACTAAACGCCGTACAGAGCGGCGCCTCATACAAGCGAGGCATTAAAGATCGCCACGCACGCAGCATCTTGACAAACGAAAAAGCACCCGAGTGAGGAATTCATGTGCAGCACCCATTTTATCCTCATTTACCTCAGCTCGATAAGTGATTACAGACACACACTGAGACGTAAACGGCAGATCTGGAATGATGAACCTGAACTAATGCCAAGAAAAGATAATGATCGAATTCCTT